CTCGCGCCGCCGCCGCTGCCGCTCCCCTCGCAGGACAACAGCCAATATGGCGGCGCCCGGCACCCCCTCCGCCGCTGCCAGCAGGTCAGAGGGCACGCGGAGTCCGCGCCGCCGCACTAGCCCCCGAGGCTGCTCGCGCCATTTTGAGTCAGGTCGCCACCCGGAGTTCCCTGGGAGAAAGAACCGGGGCGGAGACGCCCCTCCCGACGGCTGACCGGAGGGTTGAGACCTGAGCATTGCGAGTGCAGACTGGGGGTTGGGTGGGGATGTACGCGGCGGTGACTGGGCCCTGCTCTCTTAATAACCGCCCTCTAAATGAATGAGGAATCGATCCGTTCCTATCGTGGTACGGTGCTTTCACATCCATCATTCGATTGCTCTCAGCCACAGGCGAGGCAGGTGCCATCGTTCCCATTTTGCAGGGCAGAACCTCGAGGCTCACAGAAGGCGAAAAGGTGCTTAACATCCAACCAGAACTTCTGGGCTCCTGAGCGGAAAGAGACGAAAGAATAGGCAAGGTTTTTATTTGCAATATATGGTCCCCTGGGAGTCCAGCTAAGTAAGCTGTTTGAACATCGGACCCAGACCCTGCTCCTTTTCCAGTTCGGTAGGGAGTGGCCTATTAAGTAAACAGGAGCAGGGTCTGTATTTTATTGTTAAAAATGCTATTTTCCCTCCAGTTTTTTTTTTTTTTTTTGAGAATGTAATCAATTCACATGGTACTCATTGATTTAAAAGAAAATTTGAGTGCAGTCTGCCTCATGCCAGGATCAGTGGGACCCTGAAGCCATATGGTGGTTATATATAGAATTGCTTTTGATGTTGTCAAGAGGAATAGAATCCTGACATTGGCCTAACCCGATGCATCAAGAGCTGTTTTGAGAGGAAGGGCTAAGTGAAAGGGCCTGGAGCTCTCAACTGCTAGGAAATTAAATAAAACAATAATACTTTGCTTCTTGTGTAGTTAGATCAAGTGCAGTAATAGAACAATACTTCATTCATCAGAGGGATTAGTGCCACTCCCAAGCATTTGAAAGATCTGGGGTAATTCCTACTACATTGCCTTTGCCACTTCAGTTTTTGCTCAGAGTGGAAGAAGGATTTCTTATTTCCACCTACTTATTTATTTTTGTGGTAAAACACATGCCATAAAATTGCTATTTTAACCATTTTTAACTATACAGTTCCGTGGTATTGTGTTCATGTTGTTGTACAACTATCATCACCATCTGTTTTAGAACTCTTTTCATCTTGCAAAACTGAATTCCTGTGCCCATTAAACAATAACTCCCCTTACGAGGTCCCCCCAGTTCTTGGCAATCACTATTTCACCGTCCTTTTTTTCCTTCCCACAACCTCTGGTAACTACTATTCTACTCTGTTACCATGAGTTTGGCTTTTTTTGTTTAAGAGTCTACATATAAGTTAGATCATGTAATATTTATCTTTTTGTGACTGACATTCACTAGTATGTCTGCCAGGTTCATCCTTATTGCAAATGACAAGATTTCCTTCTTTTTTTTTTTTTTAAGATTTATTTATTTATTTATACAGAACTGGGGTACAGGCCAGAGACACAGAGGGTGAGAGGAATCACCAGAGACAGAGTGGGGAGCAGAACAGGCAGACTGATGAAGTACACTGCTGAGGGGAGTAGCGGGCGGGTCAGGAGAAGTCTGCCAGGTCATGTGGATCTCCTCCGGGGCAGGCGGGGGTCGAGCTCATGTGGAAGTGGTTTAAGCTTCTTAGTGCAGCGCTTTAACCCGCTGCGCCACCAGGGAGGGCCAAGATTTCCTTCTTTTAAAAGGCTGAATTATGTATATGTGTGTGTGTGTGTGTGTGTGTGTGTAACACATGTTCATTTTAGAGGTTGTATTTACATATAATTACATATATAATTATATAAACACATTTATTTATATTTTCATGCTTCTCATTATATTTCACATTTTTTATACACTTATTGTTGACAAAGAAGATAGATGATCTTAAAGGATGATAGCATGTTTTGATAAACTTGCTCAGCGAGGGCTCCCAGTTGTAGGCACCCTTTTAGATGTGGTCATTCTTGATGCAATTCTGCTCGTGTTTGACCACTAAAAAGCAACTCTATATCAAACCTTGGGGATAGTTTATGTTCCTCTGGTAGAAGAGGTAAAACTTTACAGTTTTGCTTTGTGTGTCATTCTCTCTGGACACCCTTAATTTGCACAAATTTTTGACTAAATCACCATCTCTTTGACTATCAGGTTAATCTGATGACTTTATCCTAATAGATCTTGAGAACAGGAAGTAGAAGACACCCTAGATGAATTGGTAAGGCATGATACATGTGTCAGAGGGCAGATAAAAAAGAAAATCCCTGAATACATAGGGACTTAGCTTTTCAGTGAACAAGCTGGGGGTCTGATAGCCACACAAAATGCAGGACAAGCTGCTGTGCATCTTGGGTGGTGAAATATACCATTTTAGGTACACTTTTTAACTCTTATTGGGTCACTGAAAGCTGTCCACTTTTAGGAGGGACCAAATGACGAAAAATCTGAGCTTTCTTACTGGGCAAGGGCTTTGGCGTTTACATACAAGAATTGAGTTTTGGAACAAAGTCCTCCTTTAGCAAATCATTCTCCTTTTGAGAAAGAGTTCCTGGCTTACTCTAGGGGTCTGGTGGAATCAGGTGCCTTCTTATGGCACTCAAGGTGACCATGCGACTTGAGCTTCAGTGTTATCAGATTTATACAGCTAAATATTGGGTGGCCTGCAGTACTCCATTGTCAAAAGGAAGTTACATATATAACCTGAATCCCAGCAAGCCCTAAAGGCACAAGTAGGCCACTGCAACAGTTTGTTTACATTCCTTTCCTCCTACCTTATCCTCAACCATGTTCAGGTCTCACAGAGAGTTGTTTGTGGTGAGTTAACTGAGTAAGACAAATCCAAACTCTGTTCACATATGTCTCTGTACAGTATGTTGGTTCTAGCAGAGCAGATTGCTGAAGGTGTTGCAGTTTTCCTCCACAAAGGCTTTCCTGCTGGCCTAGGGGTTAAGTCTTAGCACTATTACCATTGCAGCCAGGGAGGACCCACATATGGTGCAGCAGACCTTGCCTGTTCTGCCCATTTCTCCCTTCAGCAGTGTATTTCACTAGATCTGCCTCTTCTGCACCCTACTCTCTCTGGTGGATTTTCTTGCCTCTGTACCTCTGGCCTACACTCCAGTTCTTCTTACCAAAAAAGAAAAAAAAAATCAGCTTACAGCTTCCACTAAAAACCCATTTGGATAAAAAAAAAAAAAAAAGGCTTCTTTGGGGACTTGATTCCAATGGAGGCATACGTAGGGGCCCCTTCACACCAACTAGCAATTATCAGCAAGGTATCTGAGAAATCTATCTACCAGGATAGACCATCAAATCTCACAGGTTAGAGACCTCCCTGTTGGTGCAAGTGGTTAAAGCACAGCATGATGATGCTATCTGCAGCCACTACAGCATGAGTTTGATCCCTGTCCAGGGAGGTGACCCTCATAGCGCAGCAGACCTCTCCTGTCTTGCCTGCCCACTGCTCCCCTTAGCAGTGTATTGCAGTAAGTCTACCTGTTCTGTTCTCCACTTTGTCTCTAGTGAATCCTTTTACTCCCCCACCCCCACACCTCTGGCCTATACCCCTGTTCTTGTATGCATATGTAAATAAATCTTAAAATTTTTTTTTTCCCACAGGTTAGGAGCTCAGTTTTCCAAAACACTCTCCACTTCAGATGCTAGCCCCTGAGCCCAGGCCATTACTTGTGCTTCTGACCAGTGGGCTATGGTTTGGGAGCTCCCACAGTCCCCTCTGCAGTCTTCAGGTGATAATTTATTACTTATGCTTTTGATTGACCACTATAGATCAGAGATTACCAGGGTACAGGGTACCCTTTCCAGTTTTGCTAGAACTTCTTACAGAACTCAGGAAACATCACTAGATCATCAATTTATTAGAAAAGATACTGCTTAGAAACAGTAAGATGGAAGAGATACATAGGGCAAGGTATAGGAGAAAGGTTCAGTTCATTCATGTCCATTCTCCCCAAACCTCCATCTTCCCAAACTCCCAAACCTCACCAACCGAGATCTCCAAACTCCCCCAACCCCCTTATTTTGGGCTTTTACGGAGGCTACATTATATAGGCATGGTTCATTAAGTCATTGGCCATTAGTGATTGATTCAACTTCCACTCCTCCCCTCCCAAGAGGTGGGACTGGATGTTCCAGCTCTCTAATCACAAGGTTGGTTCCCCTGGCAACTAGCTCTCACCTTCAGGTGTTATCCAAAAGTTACCTTCATTAATGTAACAAGAAACACTGCTACCACTCACATACTTAGGGAATTCCAAGGCTTTGAGGAGTAAGAATGAATTCCAAATATATGGGGAAATGTACATTTTGGCCACTTGAATGACCAATTTCTTATAAATCACAATATTGTACAACATAGGGTCCTAGGAAAGGGGAAGTGCGCCCAGAGATGAAGTCAAGGCACACTGATTTTGGGTATGGATAATGGCTTTGTCTGCTAGAGATTGAGGAGGAAAAATACAGAAGACTTTCCAGACGA